TTGACATTAGAATCGGTGAGCACAGGGAGAAAATAAACAGGCCTCTGAGAAACGCAGATGAATATCGAGCGTTACTGGAGGTCTCAGCAATTGCGGAACATGCACTGGACACAGGGTACAAAATAAGAAACTGTTGAGGTCTATGTTGGTCAATGTGTCTCCGGTGACAAGACAGATCATCCAAATCGAGAATTGTGACCATTCGTTTGCCATCTGATGAAAGTACTATTCCTGTAGCAGGTCGTAAATCATTACCCTTGAAAAGTGTAAGATTAGCCTTAGAACATTTAAGAATCAGTTGTTTGAGTTCATTCTCATTCACAGAAGTCAGTAAGGTGATACTAGTTCGCAGTGAGCGCAGAACTTCGTTTCCGATAATCGATGGCACCGACGTTGAAACTAAAAAATTACAATCGATAGAAGTACCTTGGGGTAATCTCACAGGGGTCGTGCAACTTCAAAACAGAGGTACAGAATGTCCGGTAATACCGCGAATGTCAACATCTTTAGGCACTATCACGGAACTGGGGTAGAATGCAGTAAGAACTGATTGTGGAATAATGGAGTCAACACTACCAGTATCAACAATGAAGTCATGCTTTTGACCAGAAGCGGATATCAACGTTTTAAAAACGTGAGGAATTTTGGGACAAAACAGATAGAGAAAGGGTAGAAATGTCTTCAGATAATGCTTTCACATAAGTATTTGGGTCAGAAGTTAAGTGACACACTTTTTTGGACTTACAGACAAGCTGAATGTGTCCTGTTTCACCGCAGATAAAACACTTGGCTCGTCTGTGAGGGCATGAATATCTGGAATTACTTCGTCCACAAGATTCACATTTCCCAAGTTTTTGAAATATCGGATTAGAGTTACGATCTGTGAAGTGGCGTATTGACGGAGTTGGGGCAAGAGAATCTGTTCGCGGTCTGAATTTGCTGTTCGTCTCCATCCTTGAATTATTTCTTTTAGAATAATTCAACAAGACTGCTTCCTCAGTCTTCGTTACATGCTCCACATCTTCATACCGCTCACATATTTTTCGAATAGTTTGAAATTTCTGACCCGGACAGAGCAGCAACTTCTGCTGTAATTCGGGCAGTTGAACGCCAGCAATGAGTCTATCACGCAGCTGGTCTTCCAGTTGGGCACCGTAGTTACATTTGGCTGCCTTTGTCTGCAGCTGTAACACGAAATCACGAACCGACTGAGAATGAGAGCGGGCTAACATATTGAACTTAGCTCTTTCGGCTGCTACGAAGTTAATCGGTTTGAAGTGTTGAAGAACTTTGTTTTTCAATGCAGTGTAAGAAATATCAATTGGAGATTCAGGATATACTAAATTCTTGATCAAAGTATACGCCTCCTTGCCAACGAAATGTAGGAAATATGCAGTGAGTTTCTTATCATCCATATCGGATTTTGTGAGGCACCATATGTCGAATCGTTCCAAATAATCCTCTACGTCACGCGCAGTTGAATTAACATCTAATGGTTCCATTCCGGCAGGCATGATGAACTGTTCCAGTCGCGACGCCAAAATATGGGAATTAAGTTTCGTACGTATATCGGTACAACCCGACAAACTAGAAATCCAGAATTCAACGAAGAGTGGCAACCAGCACGTATGTATTCGAATTGGCGAATATGTACAGCATATGGAATATTAAAACAAGAGAATAAGGAATAGAGCAATGAATAGAGCATCAGTCATGTTCATCACAGACTTCTTTATTTTTATATTCGCAACCCAGCGTAATTATTTTCATTTTTTTGCCACACACTCCTGGTAAACTAACTTCTTGGGTATCTACAGCGCCTCATGTAATGTTCTAACCCAGGATGGCATATTCCTTTTTTTGGGACTCCTGATTTACCTACGCAGTTCATTGACGTGAAATGACTCCATGTCCCGTTCTCATCATACTGGAAATCCCCCATGGAACACCTGTCTATTGGTGGCTTCCCTCTTTCCGTTGCATGCACCTTCCGTGGTCAAAACACATCGGACATCCAATTGGTCCGCAACTGCCCCGCACCAAGGAGAATGCACGTGGCTACATGTAGAGCAAGGACGCCAAATTCACTAATGATCGGGATCGCGAGGGACCGTGTTCCTCCTGACGTTCAATGCATGT